CACACACACACACACGTGTATACACACACGCGCGCGCGCACGCCCGCTCCCGGCCCCGGGGGGACGCCGCCCCGTCGCCGCTGTCACACGCCCGGACGCGAAGTGCAAAGCCAGGGGGCCCGTCCCTGAGGGGCAGCTGCCGCCCGCCGGCCCCTTCCCCTTCCCTTCCCCGGCCCGAGGCTGCGGGCGCCGGCAGGCAGGGCGAGCGGGGGCTGGCGGGCTGCGTCTCACCGGAGGAGGCTGCAGCGCTGCCCGAAGCCGCCTGCGGTTATAGCCTGCGCCTCTCACCGGCGGCGGCTCCTCGCGGGACGCAGCGCGGGGGCACCAGCTCCCTCGCCGCCGCCTTTGCTGCCCCCTCTCTTATTCCAGTGGCAGCAAAACCTGCGGCCCAACCCGCAGCCCGCTTCCCTCCTAGCTTGGGGGCCTGAGCTGGCACCTTCACTGGACCCTTTCTCTGACCCCTTCCCCTCAAGTGTTTCCCCTCAGGTTCCTCAAATCCCGACTGTTTCAAACAAAAGCTGAGGGTGTTGCTGAGCGCTTTGAGTCCGGTTCCCTCTTGCTTCCCCTGTCGGGTGACCCCAGGCCAAAGCGAATGGAAAACACTTGCCTCTTCTGACCAAGTAGTGTCCTTTTGTCAATGACGCTATAAGGTGTGGGGCTTCACCACAGTTTCACCTGTGATTTCAAATCACAAGTTTTACTAGAGTTTCACCATGTGATAACCCCATCCTTGGTTCCCACAGGCCAGACAACTTCAGTATGCCTTCAACCCTGTGCGTTTGCTCCAGTTTGGAAAGCTCACATCCGCGGGTTCCTGTGTGGGCAATGTCTCAATTCTTAAAACTAATGATGCAGTTTGAGAGATCATAAGAGCGATCTCTTGTGATCAGAAGAGTGATCACTCTGTGGCAGCTGCTTCAAGGTTTTTTTTAGTTGTGTAAGAGCAATGTGGAAGCTGTGATGGCCCACAAGTTATGTGAGAGGCAAGGATTTCTTAGGCTGGTAGCTTTTATTGGACCAACCATATAGTTAGGATAAAGCTAGACAAGCTTTCGAATGCAAGACACATTGTTCATCAGGTCAGACCTGAGGGATAATAGTAGTAAAAAACCTAGAAACATCAGGGGGAAAAAACATAAGAAAACAAAAAAGTATATCAACTTCAGGTCAGGTGCAAGCATTGGACAGCTTGTCTAGTTTTATCTGTACTAAATAGTTGGCCCAATAAAAGACATCACCCTAAGAAATCCTTGCCTCTCAGATTTTTTTGACATTTTCTGTTTGCACATGTATATTTTGCTCTTCTGGATACTAATATGGATAAAACACATACACACTACACAATATGTAGGTTAACGTGTGTAATGTAGTTTTCTGGCAAAAAGCATCTCACAAAACTACGTTGAAACTATGTTGAAACTGTGATGGTTTGTTCCTGGAAAGGAAACTCTTTAAAATAAATTCTTCCTGTGACACTTTGGAAAAGGGTCTTTAGGTTGATACACAGTTTGCTTTCCTTTTTTTTTTTTCCCCAGGTGTTTCTGAGTTTTACTACCATTTTCCCAAAGAGTTCAAAACCTGTGTGTATAGAAAGATTTTCTGTTGCTTAATAAAACACAAACTTATTAGCATTTCATGGTTGTTGTTTTTTAAAGATAAGAACAATTAATATAAAAACACACACTGCTGATATACAATATAAAACAGTCCCAAAATGAAGATAACACAGGATTAATTCCTCACCTCTGGAGTAATATATTTTCCATCCCTTTCACTTTGGAAAGTAGCTAACACAGATAAGGGATGTGGACTATCCAACATGTTACTGGCAATCTTACAGTGATGAAAACAAGTGTTTCATTGAATTGCACAACTAAAATCTATTTAAACCCATATCACCTGCCTTCAGTCTAAACAAAATTCAGGCTTTTTAGACAGGAATGCTAGTTGTAATTCTATTAAGGGACTACCCAGTGACAGAGGCTTTTAAAGTTAGAGTCTTTAAGTCAGATTCTGCCCCAAAGACTTAATTGAGATGTATTGTTCATGATAACATTTAAATATGTGTGCTATATTATATGTGTCATACAGCAACTGTTTTCTTTATATACATATTGTGCATGCAATGTGTATACATTTGTTCTGGGAAAGGGATTCTTAATGGCTTAATTACAGGATCACCCTGTAGATGTAGATCTAGAAACCACTACAGAATATATTTTGATTTGCCTGAATGTCCCCGTCCCCCTCCCCCCCCC